GAGGGATGCTGCAGCAGCAGGATGGATGAACTTGCCAGCAGGAGTGAAGCGAGCAGGCAAAGAGCAAAGCCTCCGCCTTCCACATCCTTTTCTATGGGTGCCACAACGTATAACGGTGTTCATCCACATGTAAGGGTAGTCCCGCTTCAAAAAATCTGACCAACAAAATCCCTCAAGGCCGGAGAGAGGGACTCAGGTTAAGAGCACTTTTTCCTTTTACAGAGGACCCCAGTTCATATTCATAACCCTCTTCTAACTCTGCAGGCACCAGACATGTAAGTGGTACACATACATGCAGTGAAAACACACACACACGAAAATAAAATAATCTAAAAAACGTAAAGATCATAATAAAGCCATTATTTTGCACAATTAAAATATGTTCATTAAAACAAAGTTTCAATTTCAATGTTACTAATTATTGAGAGAAATGTAAAAATTAAAGCCATGTTACAAAACGACCAAGTGATTGATGAGGGTGTGAAGCCCTGCTGCCCTACTAAGGGAGTATGCATTAGCTCGACCATTAGTGCGAATCACTTAGCATGAGCTACTACAACTGAGCAGATGCAAAACCTATTACCCAGAAACGCTACTGATTGGCTAATGTGCATGCCATGTGACATATAATAGCGAAAATCTGAAACAGTCAATGGTAGAATGCAGAGATCAATGGAGTGTATGACACATGGGATACCAAGAAGGAAAAAGAATTACAGTTGACCCGGAAAGAGATGGCTCAGCTCCTAAAGATGATCGTCAATCAAGCCTGATGACCGGAATCTCCAGAAGCCAGTCAAAAGGGCAGATGTGGTGGTGCACATATGTAACTCTAGGACTCCTGTGCCGAGATGGGAGGTGGACAGGAGAATTATCTGGAAGCCTGGAGTAGACGGCACGGTGGCGGACTCAGGAGAGACCCTGCCTCAGTAAGGTGAAAGACAGACCCCATTTCTGAACATTTGTCCTCCGACCTGCACACACACGCACACACACACACACACACACACACACACACACACACACACAGTGGCTGTTGCACGAGAGCAATGGGTCTGGAGAGACGGCTCAGTGGTTAAGAGCACTGGCTGCTCTTCCAGAGGACCTCCATTCCCAGCACCCATGTAGCAGCTCACAACTGTCTGTAAGTCCTGTTCCAGGGGATCCACTGCTCTCTTCTGGCCCAAAGGCATTGTACGAAAGTGATGCTTAGACAAGTGACGTATGGACACGCATGCAGGCGGAACACCCATACACACAAAATAGAAATTAACCTGAGCAGTGGAAACAAGTGCCCCAGAGTAGGTGGATGCTCATAGGGAGAGGACTGGGATGTGACCCTGAACTGGTCTTAAGTCTAAAATCTGCTAAACATATTCACAGGAAGGTGGTAAGCTGTCCATCTTCAGGGATGGCAAAATAGCCTCAAGGATTGACAGTGAGCAACCCAGGGACACATATTTCCACTGGGTCCCCTCACAGAGGTGCTCAGGTACCACCTGTGAGGAACTGTCACCACGGGAAACCGGTCCTGCATGTCCGGTCAGCAGCTGCTAATGTCTCCTGTGTGTCCTCCTTGCTCATCACCAGGACCCTAAGAGGTGGCTGTCATTGTCACTTCTGTAAGGACAACCAAGCTGAGGCACCAAAAGGTTGTCACTTGTCCAAATGTCAAAGCAGAGCAAGAATTTGAATGGGGTTGGTGGCCCCCAAGTCTTTGTGATAATCACCCAGAATCCTACCTTTCTATGACCCATGGGACCACGCTTCCTGAGAGGGCTTTGCCGGGTGGCTTCGGAGGTCAACGACTCCATCTGCTCAGACTCAGAGTCCAAGGTGAACTTACTTGAGTCAACAGCATTTCTGAAGGCAGAGGTGGCAGGAAGGGCCACCTTCAGTGTGCATGTGTATGTGTGCACGTCTGTGCTCACACTAGTGTGCAAGTAGGTGGCTGGGGTGTGGGGCGAGGGCCAGGGGAGAGAGTCTACCTATTAGCAGAAAGTAATCAATCTGAAGGCTCCTCACATGCTCGGCACACAGCAAATATTTGTCGAATTAAATTGGAATTCCAAAGACAGCGCTCTATAAATGCAAGGTATTGCTATCACTGTCGCCTCCAAGTCACAGGCCTAGAAAAAAGACTCGGGGACAGTGTTGTGGGGCAGCACTCGTCAGCTTCCTCTCGCCTCCAGGTGAACTCTGGGTGCCACTAACTCCTTTGGGTGGTCGCTCTCTGGGAGATACTCCTCTTGAGCGGGCTGAAGCCAGGTCTTCCAGCCCATGAGAGGACAGTGGTGAAATGGTGATACCACCCCAGTAACTGAGAGGCCAGGAGTCCTCCATACTGGCCAGCTGCGTGCTAAGTGCTTTAGAGTGACTGTCCCCCATCTGTTTCCACACAGCCAATGAGGATGTCACTGCGTGTCCAGAGAAGAAGGGCGAAGCCAGAGGGACTGGCCATGAGCGCATGCTAGGAATAACTAGGAAACTATCCATCTCTGTCTCTTTCTCTGTGTGTGTGGAAAGAGGGATGTGTGTGTAGTGTGAACATGCGCATATGCGAGTGCATGCAGAGACCCGAAGTCGATGTTGGGTGTCTCCTCTGCCGCTCTCCACCTAATCTTTTGAACGCGAGGCTCAGCAATTTGTCCAGGCTGGATGAACAGCAAAAGGCATGGGTCCTCTTGTTCCTCCCTCCCCGGCGCTGGGATTGTAGGTGCATACCACCGAGCCTTTAAAAAGGAGAGAGAGGGGGAGAGAGAGAGGGAGAGAGAGGGAGAGGGAGGGAGGGAGGGAGAGAGAGGAGCTAGAGAGATGGCCCAGGGGTTGAGAGCATTGGCTGCTCTTTCAAAAGACTGGGGTTCAATTCCCAGCAACCACCTGGCAGCTCACAACTGTCTGTAACTCCAATTCTAGGGGATCCGAAACCCTCATACAGACAAAACACCATTTTAAAGTAAATAAATTTAAAAAAAAGACCAGGCAGTGGTGGCACACACCATTAATCCCAGCATTCCAGAGACAGAGGCAGGTGGATCTCTGTGAGTTAGAGGCCAGCCTGGTCTACAAAGTGAGTTCCAGGACAGACAGACAGACAGACAGGACTGCAGAGAAAGCTTGTCTCAAACACCAAGAAATGAAGGAAGGGAGGGAGGGAGGGAGGAAGACTGTGTGTGTGGTGTGTGTGGGTGTGTGTGTGTGTGGGTGTGTGTGTGGGGGGTGTGTGTGTGTGCTCTTGCACGATGCATGCAGCCCCACAAGTGACACAGTGTGAATATAGAGGTCAGAGGGCAACTTTCCAGAGTCTGTCTTCTCCTTCCGCTGTGGTTCCAGGGATGGGAAATGGTCATCATGGCAAGCTTTTCTCTCTAGGCCTTACCGATGACCCAAATCTGGCTTTTTACCAGCGCAGGTAGAACCCTGGGCCTCAGTTCTGCCCAAGCTAGTGAATCTTTAGCTCTAGGACAGTAAACGTTTCTGTCTCAAAAACAAAGTGAATGGCACCTGAGAAGAAACTCCTGGCTTGACCTTGCCCTTTCTACTCTATCTACACACGCATTCATACACAAAAGCCCAGGGGCCCCGAGAGCCCCGCAGAGGCCCCGAGAGCCCCGCAGAGGCCCCGAGAGCCCCGCAGAGGCCCCGAGAGCCCCCGCAGAGGCCCCGAGAGCCCCGCAGCCCGGTGCTTCATGGGAGCAGTCCCTTTCTGACCCGTGAACTTGTAACGTTGGAGAGCCCCCGACCCTAAAGCTGCTCCCAACCCTCTCCACGGCCCCTGTAGCCTGTGCAGTCCTCCTCGGCCCCCGTCAGTCAGTCCGTCCCCTCTGACTGCCACACCTATGACATGGTGCCTCCTCCCCGGAGGTCCAAAGCCTTAAAACTTAATAGTCTCTCAAACGCTGTAACACTAGAGGGGGCTTTTATGAACTCAACAGGGCTAATATTATGAGGGGGCAGCCACCGCCGAAGTGGGCTGCTCACAGTCAGGGGCCCCCTCCAGCACACTTCAGAGGCCTCCGAGGGCGTCTTCACGCCCAGTTCCTCTGTGTCTGATGAGGTTATGACTGAGCAGTTTGCTGCAGACAAGGACTTGGCAGGGGGCTGAGACCCTTGTACCCTGGCTCAGGGGAAGCGGAGGAGAGGGGGAGGGGCTGGGGGGGGATCCCGGTGACTAATGAGCAGGCAATTGAAAGCTCCGTCGTGTCAGTGGGGAGCAGATGGGGGAGGAGGGGAATTTCTGCGGCCGGGCTTCTGAGGTGGGCACTGAGGGAGACAGAGAGGGAGGGAACCAGGTGGTGAGCTCCAGGCGAGGCTGCTGGAGCTTCGGGACACACAACCTTTTCTGTTTTGAAGTCCAGGTTTTTCTAATTGTTGCCTTTCTTTTGTGTTCTCGCTCTCCCCCCTCCCCCATACACTTTTTTTTTAAGACAAGGTTTCACTACCTAGCCCAGGCTGGCCTGGAACTCACTATTGTAGACCAGGCTGGCCTCAAGAGATCTATCTGCCTCTTCCTCCAGATGCTGGGGTGAAAGGTGTAGGCCATGATGCCTGACTTCTCCCTTCCTCCCTCTTCCCGTCCCTCAAGCCTTCCCCTTCCTCAAACATGTATGTATGTATGTATGTATGTATGTATGTATGTATGTATGGCTTGTCCTGGAAGACCAGAAATAGACCTCCTGGGCTTCAGTCAGTGTAGGCAGAACCCCCAAATAAAATGCAAGCAACAGGAAACAAAGGACCATGATTGATTTGCCAACACATACACACATATCACATATACACACTTATCCCAGACATATACATACACTTACTGCACACACACAAATACACACACTTATCCCAGACACATACATA